TTGTTAATAATTTTTTTTTATAATCTATTTTCTCTAATAATTCTTTTTCAATTGATAATATAGCCAACTCATTTAATCTATCTTGAGACATTGTTAATCTCAGGTAAGGTTTTATCAATTGTAATCTTGAAAAACTTATTTTCTTTTAGACAACTGCTATAGAAAAACTCTACTTTTGTATAAAATATAGTAAAAATTTTTTTAATACTATAAACCTATAATTTTTATAAAAATGGGGTCCAAATTTTGGGAACCTAAGACAAACGTCTTACTTGAAACAACGTTAGAGCCGGCCCTGTCTTCAAGTACCACTAGCTTTCCATAAATAATTTTATGTCATTATTGCCAAAATAATGTTTCAATGAGTTCTTGTACTTCTTTTGTCTTAAATTTCACATTGTACTAGCTAGATTCTACATGTCTTTATTCATGAACATTCGTTCCAGAAATTATTTAATTTTGACTTAAAATGATTCCCTTGTGTTAAAACGGCCCTAAACAGGGAGAAATTCAAAAATAGCCAGATTTACCACTGGTCGTTGAAAAATAGCCAAGTTTCAAAAGTCATCGAAATTTAGTCACTTTAAATCTGAGCGAAAACACTGTTCAAAATCCGGAAAAATACGCCCGCAAATTTTACGGGAGTTCCAGCATAAGTATGCTTGAACTCCAGTAAATTTTACGGGAGTTTCAGGATAACTATGCTGGAACTCCCGCAAATTTTACGGGAGTTCCAGCAAGTATAATTGTCCAGTATAATATACTGGAGTTTGGAGCACTGGTGCTCCAGTCTCCCGCAAATTTTACAGGAGTTAGCAAAGTATACCGGTCCAGCATAATATGCTGGAGTTCGTACACAAATGCACCAGAACTCCCGTATATTATACTGGACCGGTCCCTGTTGCAGCAAAATAGTGGCTATTTTTCATTGACTTGATAAACGCTGGCTATTTTTTATTGACCAGTGTGAAAACTGACTATATCATGATATTTTAACCCCTAAACAAGATAAAACCATGTTGTTTTACCCACAAAAAAATTCTTTCAACTACTTCATGTATTCTTTCGGACAATACTTTAAAACTAAAAGTTAGAACTCGCTCAGGACTCGTTCAAGAGCGAGGTACTCATAACGCCTTGAGCTGACATCTGGGGCTTTTGTCTGACAAGACTTACGCGTCAAGCACCCGAACATACACTCAAGATACGCGCAAATGACCCAAAAACCCAATGCAAGAGACTCGTTCCAAGTTTTAATGTAATCATGTGTAACTAGTCTTGCGGGACCCTCAAAATCATTAACTAGTCCTTAACTTTTGATATATATGTTATATACAAGGGTGTTCATGGTTCGGTTTGGATCGGTTTTTCCCTAAAAATAAACCAAACCAAGTAAGTCGGTTTTTCAAATATTAGAACCAAACCAAACCAATTAAGTCGGTTTTTTCTCGATTCGGTTTATGTCGGGTTTTGTCGGTTTTTCGGTTTTTTCGGTTATTTGTCGGTTTTTTCTTAAATATAAGACATACACTACCAAACACATACTCCGGCGACCATATTTTCAACGTAACACTATCAAATCAATTGCCCTTTGAAGAATCTATTATTTACCAAGATATATTGATGATAATTGAATCAATAGTGATAAATAATTTAAGGACTCAATTAAAAATATATTATTTTTAACACGAAATGGATTCTTACACTTAACAAAAGAAAACTATCAATCAAACTAGAATGTAAAGGTAAAGAACTATACTAAAAGTGGCAAACTATTAACATTTACCATAAAATTTTTGAAACTTTGTATAAAAATATACATATATATAGGTGTAATAATAAATTTAAAATAGCTACTCCTATAGTCGGTTTGGTTCGGTTTTTTTCGGGTTTTTTTCGATTAAAACCAAAACCAAACCAAATTTGATCGGTTTTTAAAATTCAAAACCAAAACCAAACCAAACCAAAAAGTATCGGTTTTTTTTGTCGGTTTGGTTTGGTTTTCGGTTTGGTTCGGTTTTTCGGGTTTTTATGAACACCCCTAGTTATATATAACACTTCGCTATAACAACCAATTTTTTTTGGAGCAAACGAAGTTGTTATAGAGAAGTTTGATTGTACATACTAGTTTTACCTTTATGTATTGATTTCATAAAGTTTTTTTTATATTACTCCCTTCCTTCGTTCATTTTTAAATGTCCACTTTTGACTTTGCACTTTCTTTAAGAAAAAATAAATAAAGTATATAGTACTTTATAATTTTATCCATAATAATAACAGATTTCAAAAAGTTTTGGGAAATGAGTAATTACTAATAAGGGTAAAACAAGAAAAAAGATTGTCTTTTACATGATTTGCTGAAATGGACAATGGAAAGTGAAAATGTATTTTTAGCATATTTTCACAAATAAAAATTAGCTGTTAAATTTCTTTTTATATGTTATGAATAGAATTGTAATTAGAGTGAATGTCTATCTTTTAGAGAGTTTTACTTTGTGGCTGAGTCATTTTTTCCCTGTAAATAGAGGAGCCTTACCCCATTGTAAATCATCCCAAAATTCAATAAGAATTACTCTCACTTTCTCTGCAATATTGTTCTTCTACTTTTATTGTTTTATTACACGTTATCAGCACGAGACTCTAACCAATTGAGTAGAAGCTTTGAGATTGAGCATAATGATTGTCAATTGTTCCATGAATTTCCTTCATGATTAAATTATGGATTTAAGGTAAGTATTTTACTTTATTTTTCTCTTTTAAATTCTTGACATTATATAATTTGATTTTAAATACAAGCAAAGACAATAAATTTTGATTATAACTCTAGTGGAGTTAGTAAAAAGTTATAACCACCCAAAGTGGTAAAATATTTATGCCTTGCCATGATTGTGGGCAAAGAACTGAAAACTCGTTCCATTGAATTTGCTCCATTCTCATTCCCTTAAGAGAATGTGCTAGCAATATGTGATAAGTCTGAAAGAAGACAAAATTATTACCGTGAAGGTATCAATGGATGTGGACGTGGCAATAGACGAAATTATAATCGTCATCATTGTGATAATGAGAATAATAAGGATTCATCTTTAATTTAGAGCATAATTTTCAGTTTTTTTAATTCAAGACAATACATCTTGATAAGTTGGTTTACACCGTAGTTGGTTTAACAAAATAATTTATTGAGTGCCTCCACTTAATAGCTAAACTATTGATTATGAGAATAAAGTTATCTATATCAGTTTGATATACGTTGTATACGAAAGTTATTACATTCTCCCTCACAAGTGGTTCAGGGTCAGGAACCAAATAATTTCATCTTATTATTATTGATGTGCGGTGTATATTTTGATTAACACCATAATGCACAAAGATGGATTCCCAAAGTTGAGGAAGAGACATGATAAACAATTGAGAAAAAGTTACGTGGAATGAATTATCATTTGTGCATCTAGATCCTCGAATAAGATAGTATGAACTTGAAGTTCATAAAAAGATAATTCATCTGCAATATATTGCAAAGCATGCCAGACGCATTTGCCGACCCAACAAAAGTAACTTTATTCTCATTGCAAATGCTCATATTAAGTCCTAGAAGGACAAAGTCTATGGTACGCTTCATATAGACAAATCGGTTTCAAATAAATTTCTTGATAAAGAAGATGAGCAAATGATCATAATACATGAGGCAAGTGATCTAGAAGATCACATAACATAAAACTTCATAAAATCTCAGGAGAGATTCAGGTACCTGAAAATATGAATGAAGAGATTTCTATGTTATGTCTTTATGAAAAATAAGGAGATTGGAACCGATATAAAATGTCCATCGACAACATCTATGATAGCGTTAAACATATATAAGCATCTTAAGTCTGGAGAAACAATTTCGAATAGAATTGATTTCATATTAAAGACATGTAGTTCAAACACTTGAAAGTATAAAGCCAATGGTATGTGCAATCAGTTTTCGATATCTTATATATCTAGCATGACATGAAAACTTGATATGCATCTAAAGTCTACTATATGGCTTATATGACTTTACTTATATGACAATCCATGAAGGATTTAAGTCGCTTGAAGCATATACAATTCTTGATCTTGAAGTACCACTTCCTCAGTGCAATTTGTGCACAAACGTATCTTGCTATAACTATAGGCATGATAATATGATAGCAAGAGTTTTCAACTCTATGTGAAGATATTGAACTGACGATTCCAACAAGATCATATGAAGACAATACGTCTATTAGGGATGATGATTTCAAGGTGAAACAAATTCGTTCAAGTTAATATGGCTGATTTGTTTATCAAATCTCTACCAAAGATCTTTTGAAGATGGTGCACAAGATTGGAATGCGAAGGCTCAAGGATGTGAATTGATACTCTCATCAGGGGAGTTAATGCGCGTTGCACTCTTTTTCCCTTACAAGATTTTGTCCCACTGGGTTTTCCTTGCAAAGTTTTTAACGAGGCAATCAAAAGGCGTATTATTAAACATGTGTACTCTTTTTCCTTTTCTAGATTTTTTTCCCCATTGGGTTTTATTTTAGTTAAGGTTTTAACGAGGCACATTACTTATTGAGTAGACATTCAATGCGAGTGTTATGAATAGAATTGTAATTAGAGTGAATGTCTACGTTTTAGAGAGTTTTACTTTGTGGCTAAGTCATTTTTCCCCTATAAATAGAGTGGCCTTACCCCATTGTAAATCATCCCAAAATTCAATAAGAATTACTCTCACTTTCTCTGCAATATTGTTCATTCTAGTTTTATTGTTTTATTACATTATACGTATTATTTTACAACCTAAACATGGGAAGACAGTTGAAAAGTTGGGGAAGCTAATTACAGTGAGTCACCGATACATTGAATGCCCCATATGTCTTTTTGTGTAACAAATTTACTACCAACAGTCTTCTAATTCTTACTTTTGCCATCAGTGTTTACTATATATATATATATATATATATATAGAGGTTCTTGCCTTTTCAGTTCACAATACAAGTTCTTTTTTTGGGGCATATCGTAGTAAGGAAAGGAAGTGAGGGCACTCATTCGAATCGAATAGCTGAAACTACTATAACTCATATTTTTCTGCTTTAAGAGAATTCTAGCTAGTTTTAAGGCGTTGAAGAGAGTTCATCTCTTCCCTTTTTTATATATAAACAGAAAAATTTCATCTTTTTTCTTTTAACAGGGAAATTAAATAAGGGAAGATATGTTGAGGTTGATAACAGGAATAGCAGGGCCAAGTGGATTTGGATCAGCTTCCACCGCTGAGCAGGTTACCCACGGCATCGATGCTAGTTCTCTCACTGCCATTGTTACAGGTTTGAGGTTTCTCTCTCTAGAGTAGTATTTTCATTGACTGCTGCCATGCATATATTAGAATTTCTACACAGATAATTATAGGCATATATAGTGGTGGAGCTATGGTTTTCACTACAACATATCTATATATTATATAGCTAAACTTTTCTATGATAGTCGCGTTTGTTTCTATATTTTTCGGATATTATATAAAGGACATATATTATAATATAATTAAAAATCGGTTCTGAGAAAAACTTGGCTTTTATAATGAATGTCTGTTATATAAGTATGTTGTTATAAAGAAGTATGATTTTTCCCTTTTTAATTTATATTATGGACTTACCTATAGAATAAGTAAATATTATTTATAAATTAAAAAAATAAAAAAAATTATTTAAGCATCTATAATGCTGGAATAACAAAATAATGACCTTAGTAAAAAAAATAATTAGAATAATTTGTTTGTAATAATAATTTTCGTATAACAACAAAAATTCAAAAATTCAAAAATTTATTTACACAATTCAGAATGAAAGAAAATTTATTTACAAAATAACAAAATAATGAGCATAGTAAAGAATAATTTTTACTATGCTCATTATTTTGTTATTCCAGCATTATAGATGCTTAAATACTTTTTATTTTTTAATTTATAAATAATATTTATTTATTCTATAGGTAAGTCCATAACATAAATTAAAAAGGAGAAAATCATAATATTAAAAAGTTTAAAAAAATAAAAAGAAGATAAATGTTTATAATTTAGAGGGTAAAATAGGTATTTGGCAATCCAAAATTTAGAAAATCTAGTTGAGTGAGCTTCTAAGTGAAATAGGCATATTTCAGTGACCTTCTGAGTGCAATAGGCATAGTTCAGTGACTTTGTTGTTACAAACGAAAGAAAAGTGACTTTATGAGATAATTTGAAATAGTTGAGTGACCATTTGAGTAATGCACTCACTGTTTCCTTCATGTTTTTGGGTGTCTGCAATGGCGAAAACAAGTGTTATGTGGTGTTTGAGGAGTTCCAGTTAGGACTTAGGACCAGAGGCGGAGCACATATTTTAATCTTATGGGTTCTAGATTTTAGAACGACGACTTCAAATACTAATAATTGAGTTCTAAAATTAATGCTTACTATATATATTTAACGAATTCTTTAATACAAATACGAAGTTTAAGCAAAAGCTAGTGAATTCCACCGAACCCGTATCCGGGCTTCTAGCTCCGTCGTTGGTTAGGACTACGGACTGATAACGTTCTAACTAAACATGTTCAACTAGCCGTAACATAACAGTTTTTGTGAGAATTTAAACCAAACGTACATAGAAGGATATATAAACATTAGTATAAACATTGATGATGTATGCTTATATGCTAATTCATCTCAAATCGACAGGAGGTGCAAGTGGCATTGGTTTGGAGACTGCAAGAGTTTTAGCACTGAGAAAAGCTCATATCATTATTGCAGCAAGAAATATGGAGGCTGCAAATGAAGCAAAGCAAACCATTTTGAAGGAAAATAAATCTGCTCGCGTTGAAATTCTGAAACTCGACCTCAGCTCAATGAAATCGATCAAGGCATTTGCAGATAATTTCCTCGCACTTAACCTTCCTCTCAACATCTTAATGTAAAAAAAAATCCATCTTTCTTCATTGGATTCAGTGATATATCTTTAAAAGAATATTTTTACCATGTTCCTAAAAGAATGTTGCGAAAACCAGAAATAATGCAGGTATCATGTTCTGTCCATTTCAGCTTTCTAAGGATGGAATAGAGATGCAATTTGCCACAAATCATCTTGGTATAACGCGTATCATAATATCCAGATTTTGGACAAATCATATTTCTCAATATATGACTGATTTAGTTCTGATATTTTTTTCCAGGTCATTTCTACTTGACTAATCTTCTTCTAGACAAAATGAAGGAAACAACAAAAGCAACTGGTATTGAGGGTAGGATTGTGAACTTGTCATCAGTAGCTCACATTTGTCCTTACTGGGAAGGAATACAATTTCACAATATCAATGACAAAAACAGGTAATATTAATTTGCAGTGTTCTATACTGATGGTAATGGAATCAATTACTAGATTGTGACTATTCGTTTTACTTATTGGTAGATTTCTACTACTACATGGTGCTCCTTTCGCTTCGTTTTCTTATTATCTTGCTACTGTTACTGCTTGTTACTACTGCTTTCTTTTCATCTTTTCTAGAGCCGAGGGTCTATAGGATACAGTCTGTCTGCTTTCTAGGTAGGGTAAAGACTGCGTACACACTATCCCAAAACTCCACTTGTGGGATTATACTGGATTTGTTGTTGTTGACTATTCGTTTTACTGTTCAGTTATCAAGACAAACTGGCGTATGGACAATCCAAATTAGCCAACATATTACATGCCAATGAGCTATCCCGTCGCTTGCAGGTAATTAGTTGGCTAAGTTTGTTTAATACAGCAAGCTGTTACCTGGAGGAACAGAAGCTATTCTCCAAATATATCACTCTGTTAGTCTCATATAATTCTTTTAGTCAAACAAATAGCTAATGATTTAATATGCTTTTGGATATGTTGGGAGAGTGGCGGAGCCAGGATTTTCATTAACGGGTATCAGAATATATAAAAGTAAACATACGACAAAATCAAGGGGAGTCAAAATATAGTATATGGACAGCTCGGTACACTAAGCTCCCGCTATGCACGGGGTCTGGGAAGGGCCGGATCACAAGGGTTCTTGTATATATAGTATATATGCATATAATTGTTTTTGCCTACATACACAGTGTATTTTTCCCATGAAGGTTGGGGGTTACAACCTTAAAGCCAATGTGTTGCCTATTTCATTAACTCCATTTGACACAAATTTTGAGTATGACATCTTTTCACCTCGATATGTGACTAAAATGCAGGAAGAGGGAGTAAATATTACTGTTAATTCAGTTCATCCTGGTTTGATAATGACAAATCTAATGAGACATTCAGCACTTCTTATGAGTATGTACACATAACCCTCAAACAAAAAATTAACTCGAGGAACTACTCGTTATTTAAGAGCTTTAATCGGATTGTTTTTCCTTCTTGGCAGGAATCTTAAGGGTATTCACTTGTTTCCTGTGGAAGAATGTCCCTCAGGTAAATAGAACATCCTTTTCCAATGGTTACCAAAACTTTTCCTGCAATAATCTTTTACTGGGTTGTTGTTGTTATTTTGCTATAATGTAGAGGTTTAAGTCTTTCCAATTCTAACATTAGTGGTATATAGTTGTCAAGCCTATAGAGAACGCCGTTGGTGAGTACTAAACCATTGTTCCTCGCATCATCCTAGCAAGAATTTCAGCACTAATCAGCATCTGCATATCAGAGAACATTTTGAAACTATAAGCATTGCACCTCCCACCACCCCAATTAGCCTTTCCTTAGGTGCTGAAAAAGAAATATTCAAGTTACTAGCATACAACGATCACCAAGACCGGGCTGTTGACAGTTTCTCTGAAAAAATACTGATGAAATTCCGAAAACTGATATTTTCCAGGGGGCAGCTACAACTTGCTATGTCGCCCTCCATCCTAGTTTAAAAGGAGTAACTGGAAAGTACTTCGTTGATTGCAACGAGTTCAAGCCAAGCAAGCTTGCACAAGATGAAGTCTTAGCTCGGAATCTTTGGGATTTCAGCAACAATCTGGTCAATGCTTCTCAAAAGATTGACAAACAGAACACAGTCCTTGGAAATGCTACAAGTTATTAGTAGTAAATTTCATATATTGTGACACTGTTGGTGAAGGTAGCTAGGAGGCTTAATTCTGCTTCCAATCTATATTATCTTTGCAGTTTCTTTAAGGCTTATGTTTAAAAATTTAGGCTTTAGCTCTCTTTCTTTTTGGTTCTCAGTCAATGTAAGTTTTCTGAAAATGTCTTATCAAAATTTTCTATCTGTTTAGTTGTTATGGATTTGCTAGTTTAAGGATTCAACTATTGCAGTCAAGCCTATATGGGTGAGGCATGACTATGGCGTTGAACGAGAAGCACATACATATTTCTTTATTAATTTGTTATTCCCTGTATTCTTAAAAATAATTTGGCTTTCTTTTTCTTTTCAAAGATGTACAAGAATGAAACATTTAGGATGTGTTTAGTATGAAAGAAGTTGTTTTCCTGAATAATAAATGATTTTCTTGCTTATTTTCGAGTATTTGGTTAGGTAGCAGAAAATATTTTTCAAAATATATAATTTAGTCAAACACTATATGAATCGAAACGAGTAAAGGCGAGGGAGGATGGTAGGTCGGGGTCTTAATATAACTTTGTTCGAACTAACATGAAATATGTTAAACCAAAAAACAGTTCACACGAAAAAACAGTTAAACATGAAAGTAGAAATTATAGTCTCAACCGACATGACAAAGGTTGAAAAGTTCAGCATGAACATGCTATGACCAACTACGACTCTTATTTCACAACTTTCACTGCTCAACAAAGACCTTACACTTATTTATTTACAAAAACTCAGGTGAAATAATCAAGAAAGCACACAGATCAAAAAGGGAGCTCAGCTAGCCTCTGCAACTGGGAAGTGCAATTTCGTGATGGATTTCCTAAGAAAACTACTCGCACAAAATGGATCTGGCCTGCCAATATCAAAATCCACAACGCTAGATTGTACCTCGCCAGACGAATCTGTGATGTTGCTATCATCTAGAGGATGGTAACTTATCTGAGAACTCCCTCCATGTTTCCGAGCTTGCTTCTTGTCTTTACCCTTGCTCCCTCGTGAAGATTTGCCATTGTTTTTCTGCTTATTCTTCCCATTCTTCTTTTTGCCACTCTTGTGGCATTGTCCCTTGTTTGGTACATGTGACACTGCTGTTGGGACAGGGTCATACACATCCGGAGCCCATGTTACAGTCAGCTTCCTCGGTAGACTGCCTTGTTTCTCACGGCCACCCTTTATGGCAGATACAAGCTTCAAAGGAGTCTGCAAAAGAACAAAACACAGAAAAAGGAAAGAGGAAAAACCAGGACTGTTAACATCTGCAGTTACAAAATTGCTCAACTGTGAAACAATCGCCATTTAGAGAAAGTCACTCTCTATATCTGAAACAGCAGTTCTATGCTCCAGTGCTGTTTCCACTACAGTCTAACTTCACCTTGTAATTTGTAATAGACAATTGGAGCCATGATATAGAAGAGACCAGTCACATGGTTTACAACTCACAAAATATATGTTGGAAAATGAAAGATCCACAAATTAAATCCAAGAAAGCCAAGAAATAATGTTTGCGGGAATCACAAGCAACATACCAGGGAAAGGTTGTCAAAATATAACCAAAAAAGCAAACAAATATGTGTCTGAACGAGGGAAGACTGAGCTTCATATGGCTAACTTTCAAACATCCTCCTGTAAGCATTCTGATATGATATATATATATATATATATATATATATATATATATACACACACACACATACACACACACACACACTATTCCTTTCGTGATAACAGACCCAACCCCGCACTGAATCTAACACCACCAACACATACCTTAGAAAAAACTAAAACATTATAAACAAACCATTAAAACTTCCCACAGGTAGTACTCATAATGACTACTAACTCAATATAAGAATGTATATGAAAGAGCAGCCAAAAGCGAAAAGCAATTAGTGGCCACAAAGAACTCCAAGCAAAAATTAAATCCAGGAAAGCCAAGAAATTGTGGCCTGTGGCAATAGCATCAATGATGACCCCAAGGAGAACAGCTAAAAACCGAAAGCAAGATACCAAGAATAGGTGGACAAACGGTATCCAAAGAAGGAACATATATAAGGGTATAGTGAGCGAGCTTATGCCAACAATTCAAACAATCCACCTATACAGTATTCAGATATAATACATATCGGTTCATGAAAAAGTAAAGGAAGAACCACACTGAAACAAAAACAAAAACAAAACATAACTTACCATTAACATTTTTTTTTGTTTTTGATATATCATACCTTACTATTACCACTTTCTTTTTTAATACGTACATACCTCTCACCATACACAACTCACAAGTAATATTCATAATTACCACTAACTCAAGGTCAGAGTATGTCCTGCTAATCAATAAGTAACGTTAAAAAAACAAGATAGATGTAAGCATGTGACTATATTTCTCGGATAACAAATAGAAAACAAGGTCAAGAAGTCCTCCATAATATCAATAGACCAAGAAAAAAACTTGACGGAGAACATTGCTGAGACACAGAAAACTCACTGGCAGGGATACGGAACGTGAGTAAGACAAATCAGGAGATTTAGCATCAGCACCATGAGTCATTACTTCAGCAGTCACGTTTTCCGTTCGCTCCTCCCCACCAATTTCTGCAGGAGGTACGCTCAAACCAGAGCATGGAAATGTTGCACATTTGATCAAGCATTTCACAGAAGCAACTTTACCAGAGTCACTTCCATAGAAATCTTTAGTTACATCTTCCTTCACTGCCTCAGAATTGCACTTATTGTTTGAGTCTTCACCACCCTGAATATTGAGATAATCAGTGAAATGGCAGCCAAGATCATTTATGGAAAGACCTTCTATATATCCAAAAGCACAATCAGGCGTCTCCTTTGATGACTCGCAAAAGCCGCCAACATTTTCAGATACTGACTTGTAGTTAGGAGGACAATCGCCCATCAAATACAAAGAGAGCAGCAAAGATCTGCCAAAGTGTGCAAAGAAAGTCTGAGCAATATAATAACAAAATATCTATTCGTAGAAATAGAATAGACAGATAAAGCAACTGCATCAGAAACAAGCTTTCATTTCCTTTCCAATCTAATCATGTGACCTCTGAACAATTTAATATTCGAGCCATCTAGCACGAGTTGAAACAGATCTAGACAGAAATGACCATCAAACCAATTTGAATGCAGTAGTTGCTTCTGTCCAAACCGGACTATTCAATCAAACAAAATATGTGTATTGCAAGCCATTCAGATGCATCCAAAACCCAAAAATCCACCCACAAAGTTTTAAAAAAATGATTAAAGCAAATGCCAGATGCATAGGCAAAAAAAAATCAGACACAATATGCAACCACCACCATAACAACAGTTGAAGTGCCTGGAAAGTTATTCCAAACTACTTCTTTTTATGAAAGTGTGCACTTCAACTTGATACCTGCTACCTACCAGCAGGCAGCAGGTACGGTTAATTCTGCCCATCGCCATGTCACTGGCCACTAGGCTACACCCTTGGGTGCAAACTTCTGTAGCCAATATTCATGCTTTAGTAATTGTTAAAGAAGAATCAAGTCAAACAGAATCAAGACATATTTTAGAACATTAATCAAGTCAAACAGAGTCAAGTAAGACATATTTTAGATTATTACCGTTGAGTTTGTTGATCGAAATGAACCTTATCAGATCCTCCAAATAAGACGTGCGAAATCAAATCTATTATCAGCACAAACAAATCCGCTAAAAACTGACCAACTATCCTATACTAAAAGACTACAGCGAGTATTAAAAGTAAACGTTAACTAAGACTATTATTAGGCCAATCAACTTTTTTCAGACGATGAAAACACAATAAACCATAGAAAAATACAGCGAAGCTGAGATCAAATACAGAAGGCACCGAATGCATTGTTCGATGCTCTTCAATATTAATTTTCCCAACACAAAACAAAACCCTAATTCCAAAACCCTAGCTCAGGGATCAGCTCTACGGTCAAAACAATGAATCGATATGGACAAAAATTGTTGCGATTTGGAAGGAGAAATTGATTAACTATAGCGTGAAGATTGGCATCGGAATAGAAGTTGGACTGAAGAGACTGAAGAAGTAGAGCTCTTAAATCGGACAGAAACGCCTTATCCGGAAAATATAAAGATAATAGCACCTTACATATATAGTATACGGCGTATAGATACATTTGAAAGTAGTACTATTTTGGAATAAGAAATATAGTAATATCCGATATTTTGAGGAAAAAAACAATAACCCTTCTCAAATTATAATGTGATATTTCCTTTAATAGAATAACAAAACAATAATATTTAAATTTCATTTTTTTATAAAATATTTTTAGTCATATTAGTATCTTTAGCTTATTTAGACCATAAATTTTTTAACAAAATTATGGTTTTATTAAATTTTATTTTCGCTCAAATATTGTCATATAAATTATTACTTCTTCCGTTCACTTATACTTGTTCACTATGAGCTTTGCACACCCTTTAAGTAATAATAAATGAAGTACTTAATTTATCATGATACTCATATTAAGGATTTGAGAAAATAATTTGAAATGAGTAATTAATACTGTGGGTATAACATGAAAATAGAAATTATCTTATCTTGATATGCTAAAAGTGATAAGTACAAATAAAAATCTAATTTTAAAATACTGGTCAAGTAAAAGTGAACGGAGGGAGTACTACGGATTGATTATGTACTAACTTGGAAAAAGAAATACTCTCTCCGTTCTAATTTATGTGAACCTGTTTGACTGGGCACGGAGTATAAGAAAAAATGAAGATTTTTGAAATTTGCTGTCCTAAACAAGTTAAAAAGGGGTCCAGAGTATTTGTGTGGTTATAAAAGATTCTCATTAAGAGTAAAGTTGGAAGTTTAAGCTAAATTATTTTCAAATTTAAAAATGGTTATTCTTTTTAAAACGGACCAAAAAAGAAATAGATTCACTGAACTGAGACGGACAGAGTAGAGTAATATAGACTATTTTGGGGAAGTAATGTAATGTGTACTGTGGATAAGATCGACAAAATTGTTGGGTCAAACGAATATGGACTGGGAGGGAATCTGATTAAATAAAGGAAATGAATAAGGACTCCTTCTCGGGAAAAGTTAAAAATGAATAAATGGATTTATGGACTGAAATTCCGCCAGGCTTCTCGGTTTCTGACATGGCTAATAAAAAAATCACAATCCCCCTACCT